CAGTGCCCCGGGGGCAGGACTGGGTCATCTAGAGATGAGCAGCTCTGTGAGGTGTGTGCAGACATGGGTGTGGGACTCCTGGCCTCCAGCCCCATGCGGAGGCTGCCCTAACTGCATACAGCAGCAGTGGGGAGCCCAGTAGGGCCCTGGGGGTCTCCAAAGAGGGAGCTGCTGGGCTCCTTGGCCAAGGGGGAGGTGGCACGTTTCCATCCCAGGTGAATCTGGGACCCTCAGGTGGAGGTAGGCTCTCTGCCTTGGAGGAAGGTAGCTGCAGGTGCAGCTTCAGGATTGCAGGCCCTGGGCCTCCCTTGATCCCACACACCTCTATCTGTGGGAGCAGATGGCTGGACCCAGGATGGACACAGGGACAGAGCAGCGTGCTTCTCTGCCTGGGCAGGACCCAGAGGGGACAGGGTCTGATCCTCCCCCTGCATGAGGCAGATCCTGGGCCCAGGGAGCCATTGCAGGGGTCAGGGCCAGGCGCTTCATGAGTTTGATTTGCCCCAGGAATGTTGAGGGCTCTTGCCTCAGACACACCCCTTCTCACATGTGGCACTTTTAGGGCGATCTAACAGTCAGAGGATGCAGGCCAGCAGTGACAGGACCAGGGCACTGTGCCTCCCCTCGGCCTGTAGCTCTGCTGGCCTCTTGTCCATGCTGTGTGGACGACTCTGCCCACAAAAGCGAAGTTCCTGGGTGGGGCGAGGGCACACAGTGGGTGAAGTGCAGGTTCCTGAGCCGGGTGACAGCACTTAGCCCCCCGGTCCCTGCGGGGAGGCGGAGAAAACTGAGCTCCCCTGTGGGGATGCGGCGCACTTGCATCTGAGTGCAGCCATGCCTGTGCGGCTGGGGGTCACTGCGTGTCCCACGGTCTGCCCGGTTCCAGCATGTGATTGTCATCCTTGCCTGTCACAGAGCAGGCAGGTTCCGGCATGCGATTGTCATCCTTGCCTGTCACAGCAGGCAGGTGAAAGGCAGGAGTATTCAGCGCACAGTCCCTTGGCTCGGGGAGGAGGGCGTTGGGATGATGGATGGATGGGGGTGCCGGGCTCAGTCCGTGCGTGTTCATGATCAGGGTCGTAAGAGGGGTGTGCGCACTCCGGCTCTGCCCCTCAGTTCTGGCCCCGCCTGGACGCTGGACTCCTCCCCAGCCGCCTCTCCTCTCTGGCTACCCTCTGCCCCATGCGGCTTGCAGGCCAGCTCTGCCACACAGGGCTGGAGTCTGGTGGCCCTGGGGTCAGGGCCGGGAGGACACTGGGCCCACGGGGGGCTGGGCCTCTGAGGGGTGGTACAGGTGCTGTGGCCCAGATGGAGGGGGCGTGGCTGGAGCTCCCGCATGGGCTGGCTGGGTCGCAGTGGCTGGGGCTCGAAGCCTCAGGCAGAAGTACCTTCTCCAGAGAGCCCCGGTGGTGGACCCCTGAGGGCCTGAGGGAAGGTCCATTTATGGCCAGGCTCTGGGAACTGTCCCCTCCTTCCCTGAGGCATGAAGCTTCTGGGCCCCTGTTGAGAAGTCCTGTGGAAGGACTCTCTCCTTCCTCTAAAAGTCCCCTGGACCACTGCTGACTGTGCTCTAGAATTCCCCAAATTTCTATCCTGTCCCAAGACAAGGCCTCAACTCTCAGCTGAGGGTGGAAGGGAGGACCCAGGCTGGGGTGGGTTTCAGGAAGACTGTCCTCAAATGGGGGTGACACGGCTGCTGGTCATCCAGCAGTGCCTGTTTAAGGGGCAGAAGTGCAGGGGCCCTGAAGGTAGCGGAGGCCTCTCCGGCCTGCACAGGCACTCCCGTGCCCACAGTCCTTGGGGCCTGGCAGGGGTGTCACTGCTCAAGTGGCACCGGGCCCAGGCTGCGCCTGAGCGCCTGTGCCTCTGAGGACCACAGGCACCATTGATAGACTCACCACCCAGAGAACCTGGACCCAGCTCTGAAGCTCGGCAGCCTGAGTCATCCCCAGGGGGGATGTGGGCTGCCCGGCCAGGTGAGGTGGCAGCAGAAAGCCGCGTCTGGTCCTGCACAGCGCTTTGGAGCAAGGCAGGCCTGGGGCAGTTGCAGAGACCCCAGGACTGTCCCTGGGCAAGAGGGCAGTGGGCACTGTCCCCAAGAGAGTAATGATCCGCCCAGCGGCCGTCGCCCCTGGGACCTCATCCGCAGCTCTCCGAGGTGGCCCGGGGTCTCCTGGGAATGAAGGAGGCTACTCACTCTAGGACCGATCCCGGCACTGGGGCTGGGGTTGTAATCCGCGTGTATGAAGTGCAGCTTCCTCTAAATCCCAGGTTGAACTCCAGGAGGGATAAGCACATGTATAGGCTTATGAATTACGGATGTGAACTACATCTCATGCTGTGTATCAGCTGCTTGTGAATTATACAGATATAATTTATGTATAAATTATACATCACATTTATATATACATAGTCTTTTATCCATATTTATGTCTCATGTACTTATATATTAATATACTTACCCTGCCCTTCTGCTTTCTGGTTTCCCTTAATAATTGATGCTGAAATCCTTCCACGCAGGGCGTGCGGGCCCCCTGAGTCTTCTTGGTGGCTGAGCCGCAGGCTGCAGGGAGGGTGTCCTGCTGTTTGCACACCTGCTGCACCCTCCGAGGGCACCTGGCTCCTGCCCAGTGTCAGTGCTGTGGTGTCCTCCAGTGAACGCACACTTTTCTCCTGCCTTCTTAGCATAGGGACTTCACAGATTTCTTACCCTTTAACCATCCTTGAATTCTCTGAGAGCATCATGCAAGGATTTTTTTCCCAATGGACTAATAGTTTCTACTTCCTAATATTTTGCTTGACCTGTGCATATCAAAAGCATAGCTTTTTTACCCCCTATAATGTGCCTGGCAGATTTTAGTAGAGTGCTGTTTGGGCTGCAAAACCCCCCATGGTTTTCTATTCCCAGTGAGGTGAGTGTGTCCCCACTGTGCTTGCATCAGACCACAGGAGGAGACCACTGAGACCCCTCACTGTCCCCTCAGCAGGACTCGGGTCTGCTCTGGACGTGTTCCTGTCACATCATGACTGCACGTCCACACCGTGCGTTATAGATGATGGTCTGTAAAACGAACATGTATGCGTAGACTGGGGAGCAAGGTGGAAAATGTTGAGACACCTCCCGTGCACCACGTGAGGTATCTTAGTAAATATCTTCTGGGTCCTTAAACAAGTGTATTTTCTGTCCGTGGGATTTGTACCTGACACACAACGTTTAATTCTTTTTTTTTTTTCCTGGTACCGGAAATCGAACTCACGACCTTGCACTTGCCAGGCAGGTGCTGTGCCACTGAGCTAAATCCCCAGCCTCAATTCTCATTCATTTTATCCTGCTCATATACTGTGTTCTGAGTTATTTTAATCCACTTGATGCAGTAAGTACTGTACCGAGGGACCCCTTCCACTGCTGTTGGGTTTCTGTGGATTTTCTAGGCCTTGTAGAGGTGGAATTGGGCATCTGTCACCTGATACCCAGCCCGTGAGGCCCCAGCACAGGTGAGCACACTCTGAGAAGTGACAGTGGGGCATGAGGACCGGGTTATAGTGGCCTCACCGTGGGGCAGGATTCACAGACATCTCCCTGGCCTGAAGGCGTCCTGAGTCCTGCACTGTCCACTCTGCACTAAATACAAAGGAGAGGCCAAGATTAGAACCTTCCGGCCTCGGCGCCACTGCTGCTCCATTAACAGTCATCAACCATTTTGCACAGTTGGAAGAGCTGCCAGCCAGGCAACTCTCAAAGCAGCACACCAAAGTAAGAAGAGGAGAGGCCGGGCCGGCTCACCGGCAGGTGGGGCAACGGGTCTCCGCAGCGTCCCCCTGGCGGGGCCAGCAGGGCGGGAGCAGGGCTGTGAGCCAGCTGTGCTGGGCAGCAGAGGGGAAGGGCTGACCTTGGCGTCCTCCTGACCAGAGCTTGGGGCCTGTGGTACAGGAAGCCCTGGGTAGGAAGGCGGCACCCGCTGGCCATCAGCTGTCCCAGCAGCCAGGGATGTGGCCCTGGGGCTGTCACCAGGCTGAGCCTGGCATTCTGCTGACACAGGGTGCAGGGGCCTGTAAGCAGGTGTCCAGACCCCGACCAGCCAGACAGGGCCAGCCCTGCACCAGAGGCGTGTCCCAGCGTCCCCTCGTGCTGTCCCCACCCCAGCTCCTGTGTAGGCATTGGACACCCCTCTCCGCACAGCCCAGACTGTCCTGTGTCTGGGATTTCACTTACAGGCGCAGAGCTGGGCCCAGGGGACTCTGGGACATGCACAGCCAAGCAGGGAGTGGGGAACAGGGAGGACAGAGGAGGGGGTCCCCGTGCTAATTAAGAGAAAGTCGGCTCCTTGGTGGGGAGTGGGAGAGGTGTCAAAGCGAAGGATTCTGCCTGAGTTATCGCCAATCTAATTTTTATGTGATTAACAGTGCACAGCGAGACTAATAAGATTCCAGGCGCATCTCCGACTAGCATGGCCCCTCTCCTGTAGGTCGCGTGTCCCCAGGGACGCCCCAGTTCTGTCCTGACACCAGGACCACAGCTGTGGCTGAGGGCAGAGGGGGCAGGGCCAGGTGGCTCCAGGAGGATGAGGGGCCCGAGCATGCTGGGCAGGCAGTGCTGGCCATGGCCAGCTTCTCCTTTGTTAGTGTCCATGAGGCCCTTGTGTTGTGGTTTGTGTCTAGATGTCCCCTGAAGCCTCAGAAGTCAGGTGGGTTTTTAGGGGTGGTTGAATCTAGTGTGTGATTGATTCACGGTCCAACGCTGGCATTAGGGGTGTGAGTGCTACACCCACCCTCGAGTGGCAGCCTGCCCGTCTGCCCGAATAAACTGCTCTCTTCTTGCTTGCTCTTGCTGTCCTCTGCCGCTGTGCACTCTTGCGCCTCTGCCTTGGAGCCAGCTGATTATGAAATGAAACCTCTGCAAACTAAGTAAGTTAAATAAACCTTTGTCCCTTTAACTTTGGGCATTGGGTATTTTGTGTCAGCCACAAGAAAAGTAACTAAGACACCTGGCTACCATGGCTTACAATTTAATAGCTCCTTTGCGGAGCAGGCTTATTGTATTTACAAACAATACTTATTCACTATAACTTTTAGAAAGTCATAGCTTCAGAAAATGCAAGAGAAAGAGATAACAGAATCACCAGAATCTCACCATCCCAAGAGGACCGCGCACATTTCCCTGCGGAGTGTGGCTGGACAGACACCAGCTCTCCCTAAGATCCTGCTCTGCTCTCAGTATCTGCTGGGCCCAGGGAGGCTCCGCAGGTGGAGTGGATGGGACTGGCCCTTGCGAAGTGGGTTTCCCACCCTTGTTCCACAGGAGAAGAGGGCTGGCTGGGACAGAAGGCAGCAGATGGCCGGGGGCAGAGACCCAGGCACTGGGTCCTGCGGTACTGCTGAGCTGGCTCACAGAGCCCCAGCTCTGTGCTGGATACTGCAGAGCCCTGCTGGGGGCAGAAGCTGCTCCTCTAAGTGTCGCTGTGAGGCTAAGGTGGGGTCATCTCTGGGGACAGAGCAAAGTCTGTCACCCTGGGCTGAGGAGGATGGCTCTGAGGGAGGGACAGCGCTGGGCTGGGTGGCCCGGGCCTCCCCACTGCTGACCACTAGGGTTTGCACAAGCCACGCGTGTGGGGTCCCAGGGCAAGGCTGGGGAGTGTGAGGAGCTGCATGTCACCTCACATTGTTGCGGAGTCATGCCCAGTTCCTTCTCACCAGCTGACTCGGAGTCTAGGGTGAGAGGAGGAGCCCATGGGTCACGGGGACCCTTGGTGATGCAGGGCGCAGCAAGGGTGCAAGGCAGCAGGGACACAGGACGCCCCTGACAGGTGCTCTTGGTGGAGGGGCTGCCCGGGCCAGGACACCCTCCCCTCAGTGTGACTCGCAGCATCGTCTCCAGTAGCACCAGACGCTGACAGCCACGGCTTTAAAATGGAGCTGGGCTGGCTGACCTAGAAGTGGCCAGGGCCACACTTGTGGTCACCTGCCCAGTACAGAAAGCCACACTGGGTTGGCACAATGCATTGGGCACCTTTCCTCCTCCACAGTGCCGTGCGAGTTGGGTACTGGGCTTGGTGAGAGACACTGTGCCCCTAGCTCTGAGGTCAAGTGTGGCCGGGGTCTGGGCAGGGTGCTGGTGGGCACAGAGAGGAGTTGGCCTAAAAGGGGGCCAGACAGCTGCAGGAGGCAGGTCGGGTCCTAAGGAGCCAGGAGGAGGGGAGGACCCAGGGGCCCCAAGTCGAGGGTGGGGCCACGCTAAAGCCTGGCTTCTGTTGAGGACACGGTGGGCTGGGTGGGTGGCTCCAGAGCAGCAGATGGATTTGCATTCCCACTGCCAGCAGGGCAGGCTGGGCGCCTGCTCCTCCCCAGCTAAGCTGAGGCCCTGAGCTTGAGCTGGTCCAATCAAGAGGGCCTCAGCCCGGGTCCCCTGGGTCTGCAGTGAGTGCTCCATCCACAGGTGTGTTGAGAGCCCCATCATACAGTAGTCCTTGCCCCACGCCACCCGACACCAGATGCACCTGGATGTCCCCAGAAGCAGCAGCAGAGCACAGTGGCCATCTCAAGTCCCAGCCTCAGAGAGGGATGCAGGACAGCAGTGTGCAGCACCCACATGGGGAGTAGAGGGTGCTTGCTGACTGGCTCCAGCACTTCTCCCGCCTTCCGCAGGCCACAGTCCCAAGTGAGGGTGCCAGCGGGACGTGCACCCTCTGGGAAGACCCTTCCCGTGGTTCCCAGCCTCTGGAGGCCCTGGCCTCCTGGATTGAGGCTGCAATCTGCTTCTGCCTGCCCTGGCTTCCCTGTGTCTCCCCTTCCCGCAGACACTTGTCCTTGGCTGAGGGACCACTGTAGACCTAAGGTGATTTCATCCCAAGATCCTCAGCCAATGACATCTGCAAAGGCCTTGTTTCCAAGCAAGGTCCTATCCTTCTGTTGCTGGTGGACACCACTATTCCACCCACTGCAGGGACTGCCTGGCCGGGAGAAGAGTCCTGCAGGGGATGGCCATAGCAGAGGAGATAGGACAGGAAGTGGGAGTTTCCTCTTCTTTTGGAGACATTTCTAATGCAGAAAATCGGAGAGGATATGGATAGAATCCTAAACTCATCAGAGTAATAGGCATGTAGAAGCCTGGCCTGCAGAGAAACCTATTTCAAACCCCCTAAATCCGGCCTGTCACGTTGGGTGAGTTTCCGGGAGGCTAAGCACGAATGCTAACACCACTTCCAGCACTTGCAACCCAATCTTAATTAAATCTGCCCCCACTGACTTGCTCTAAATGTGAATTTCCAGCAGAAGGTGTTATGAGAAATGTGTTCCCCCTCCTTACTTTAATCAGATTTCATGTTTTCTGGTGGACAGGCTGGTGGAATGAGAGCCTGCTCAGACAGGAGGCTGGAGGAGGCTTCCTGAATCCCTTCCCTGGTTCCACGAAGAAGAGGAGAGGTCTTTCGGAAGGCCATTCATCCTGTGGGTAAAGTCCGTAATCAGCCAAAGCGAGAGAGGAGATGGCCCCAGGTCACACAGTGCCAAAGGATCTGTTAAGCACAAACCAAAACCAAAATCCAGGTATCCCATGGGGGCATGAGGCCTCCCTTAGACACTTCTCAGAGAGCAGGCGAATTCTGGGGCCATCTGTGGGCAACTAAGCACTGTCAGCTACAAGGCCACTCTTCCCACTCCTGGCTGTCTGGCCTCAGCTCACAGCTGGCCCATGGTGGGACAACTGTCCTGGCTAAGTCGAGGCCACATGGGGGCTACACTGCGTGCTGGGGCAGACCAAGGCCAAGGGGCATGAGCATGCAGTGGGCAGTGCTGGCCCTGTGGAGGGACTGGCTCTGGGGTCAGCTGGGACACTCTCCTCCCAGGGCTCCTCCCGGCCTCGCTGCTCCCCGACCTCCCCATCCTGAGGAGCCTGAGAGCAGGATCCCGTCTCAGGCTCTGCTTGTGGCACCTGCCCCCGGCCATGCATTAGACCTTCAGCACACCTCCTAGGATACTCACCATGAAAACAGAGCCAGATCCCAAACCCCACGCCAAAACCAGAAACTGACAAGTGCTGGCGAGGATGTGGAGAAGTCGGAAGCTGTGCACGGTGGGTGGGAAGGTCTGACGGTGCCGCTGCTGTGGAGGACAGCATGGAGTTTCCCCAGGAGAAACAATTAATATGGTTGTGTGATCCACTGCTGAACCCTCACCCCAAAGCTGGATGTGGGGGCGCGAACCGGTGCTGGCATGCCCACGTGCACGGCAGCACCATTCGTAAGTGTGGAGAGCCTGCTGTGGATGGGGGAAGGCTGGACAGCGGGCGGCCGCCCTGCCACGGGTGTTATTCCACCTCAGCAAGCAGGGAAACCCGACCCAGCGACTGCGTGGGCAAGCCCTGGAGATGCCAGGCTGAGTGTGACACCTCTGCCATAAGGCTCACGTGTGATGCCACTGAGCCAAGCTCCTTGATCAAAGAAGCAGGGAACAGCATGGCGGTGGCCAGGCTGTGTTGACGGCACAGAGGTCGGTTCTGGAGTCAAAAGCGCTCTGGAGAGGGATGGTGCTGATGGCTCCCAGCAGTGTAAGCATGCTGAATGCCGCTGAAACGCATGCTTAAAACGGCAAAACTTACATGATTCACTTTTTACCACAGTTAGAAAAATTAAAACGCAGAAACATAAAATAAAGCTTCAATTCCACTTGCCCAACAAATGAGGCCAGTTAAAAAGGCTGGCACGTCGCCTGCTGCAGGGTTTGGCTCTGTGCGTAAGTCTGGGGCCACACTTCTGAGTAGACCCCAAGACAGACACATGCTCCTGGGCCCCAGCGTATACCTGCACGATCGCCAGTGGCTACAATGCTCCCAGGTGACCCAGACAGGAAGCGAGCTAGAATGGAACTCCCTCTCTGATAGCTCAGGGAGCTGCCCGGCAGAACACGGCAACAAACATGGGCAGCAGCTGCAGGTTTCAACAGGGGTGACTCTCCCATGCAGAACAAATATGGCATGAAGCCATTTACATCGAGTCCAAATATACTGCCCTACTGTTTAGGGGCACCAACCACAGTGGCAAGAGCTTAGAAAGCGAGGGCATGGTTATCTCAAAGGTGAAATGCTCAGAGGTTGGCAGACCACTGCCAGGAGCTCAATCTGTGGGGCGGGTGGGGCCGGGAGGTCCACCAGGGGCCTCTGACCCTCTCAAGGTATCTCCGTGCTGTTTGCTTTGTATCATGCTGCACCTTTGCATCTCATGGACTCTTCTGTATTTGTCATCTGAGCAATGAATTCTGCTAGGACAGTTTTGTCCCAAATGACTGCCCTGGCCGATGGCTTATCTTTATAGCTTTCATTTAAGAAACTCACACAGGTCTCTCTGCAGCAGATGCACAGCATGGTGACACATATCCGTAAAGGTTGCTGTGCTCTGGGGTCCACACAGGGTGAAGCCCAGGGCCCGTGGGACCTGCAGGGGCACACATGTGAGCTGCAGGCAGAGTGGCCTCTGAGGTGGCCCAAGGAGGCTGAGGCTCTGGGGACCAAGGGACAGCGGGGGTCTGGGCTTTCAGCTGATGCACAAGGGTCCACTCGATCCTTGGCACTGTTTCAAAAATGGTGTTTCAGGAAAACACAAAACTGGAATTTGCAAGAACATGGAAAGGCATGGCTTAATTCCTCCCCCACACGGATTTCCAGGAAGAGGAGCAGAGGGGCTGGCAGCTTGCAGTGACACGGTACGGAGGCAGTAGTGTTGGGGTCTCTCTTCCAGGCAGCAGATGTCACAGGTGCCGGCACGTGTGGGAGTGTCCCCTTCGCGTGGGAGTGGGTCTCCTGCCCTGTGGGAAGGGCTCCCACACCCAGCTCTGATGCTCGCTGAACAGACGAAGGGGGAAGAAGGGAGGTGGGAAGGGCAGCTGGCGCTTGCTCTGAGCTCTGCACCGGCAGGAAGGGAGGCTGAGAACAAACTGGGGCTGCCGTTGACAGGTGAGAACAAGAGATGAGGACAGTGGTGTGGGCTCCGCGTGGTCTGGGGCTCAGGAGGGGCCTTGGTCCCCTGCCCTTCCTCCCTCCCCTTGGCCTGGGCCAGCCGGCTCCCAGCTGGGACGTCGCCTGGTGGAAAGCCTTCCCCGCCCTTCCCAAGCCCATGGCACCCACACAGCACTGTGATCTCCGCAGTGCACGGAAGCTGCCCGTCTCCGCTCTGAAGTCTACAACTGGGACCCTGTTCTGCGGAAGTCACCGTCAGCGAGCGTGGGCCACGGGAGTGAATGCGTGAGTGCACAAAGGCCTGGTTTGGCCGCCTGGTGACTCCACCTACCTAGAATCCCTGCTGACCCTTCCTGGGAGGTGACCCAGAGCCTCTGTGAGGACCTTAGGCCCCCGGCAGGGGGTAGGGTGCTGCCTGCCTAACCTGCACCACAGCTCTCAAAGCCCCATCCGGTGTGTCTGGTCCAGTTTGCCCGAACACATTCTTAGAACTTTCGGTTCTCACTGAGTCGGAGAGAACACCCAAGAGCGGCTTCTTAAAGGCTGTGGTGCTCACTGGCGCGGTGGACCCACATCGTGGGGCGGAGTGCAGTTTCCAGGCTGCAGTCACAGCCTTGGCCCCTGTGTGTTCTTCTCTCCCCAGAGAGGCTCAAGGGCTGCCCTCCAGGACTGGAGGGAAGCAGGGCACCCAGAGCAGTGCTGGGTCTCCTAGCCAGCTTCCCTGACAGCCCAGCATGCTTGGGTCCTCCTGCTCCATCACTGGCCAGAAGCTCTGCTGTGAACATGAACTTGAGTCCTGGCAGCCTCTGTAGGGACAGGCATGGGAGACAGCCCTGCAGAGAGAGGAGCCAGTGCCTGTCCTGCACACTTTCACAGGGTTCTGAGGGGTGCTGGGGAAGCCCGCTCTGAGCTCTGACCGAGGTGCCCCCTTTCTTCCACCCTGCCTTTCTGCCCCCAAGCCACCCACATCCCCAGGCCTGGCCAGCTGCTGGACTGGCCTTGCTGAATGAAATCACCACTGAAACTTCCAGGCTGCTTGGAAGAGCCGCTGGACTCCTCTTAGCAGCTTTGCCGGGCTCTGGGGCTCTGCCCTCAGGGACAAGATGGGGACCTGGGGCTCAGGTCGGAAGTAGAAATCTTTCCCATCAGTAGTTAAACAGTAAAAACACCGTAAATGTGGAGATGCCAGCAGACATTTGCAAAAAGTCAACATTTATTTTGGGTAAAATGAAAGAGGACAAAATCTTAGCAAATGAGGGAGGGAGGGAACTTTCTTGGGGATGCATGAAACTGCCCTGCGGCAGCAGCGAGGGTCGCACTGGCACCGATCTGAGAAATAAGGGAACAGTGGGCAGAACAGCACCAGGCCCACAAACGTCTGAAAAGTGTCCGTGCCAATGCCGACACTCGGTCTGTCTTGTGGGAAACAGGCGAAGCGGAGGTATGTCCAGGTAGAAGCAGCCAGAGGCCATTCACTGCCGGAAAGTTGATCTACGCCTGCTGGAGACCACCAGGCAAGGCGAAAGCAAGGCACAGAGTTGTCCGCTCAGGCTCTGTGCTTCTAGAAGAGCACAGACACAAATCAAGCAGACGGGTGGTCAGAGATAAACCCGGCCCGCGCACAATGATCAGAGCTTGGGCGCCATCTCAGCGAATAACAGATAAATCATAATGAACCACTGAAATAAATCCAAGGAAGCCGAACTGTGGAAATGAGATTGATTGGGAAATTGCTCATAAATCTAACCCAAGAGGAACGATAGCCGGTTACAGAACAAACACGGGTGTGTAATTACAAGCATGGGAGCCTTGTTTGCAGAAGGAATATAGAACACACCCAGAAGCTGCTGGAAACTGGCATGGTTTAGATCTCAAATGCCCCCACCACCAGAGCCTCCTGTGTTCAGGGGGGCTTTGGGAAGGTGACAGAGCCATGGGGCGCTATTGACCCACGGATGGCTCGGGAGTTGATTGGCTGTTAGGAGGTGGGCCTGTGGGCGTGGCTGGGGGTTCCTCTCCCTCCTGGATCTCGCTTCCTTCTCCCCTTCCTGGGTGCTGTGGAATGAGCGGTATTTCTCCACGCGTGCCCTTCCTCTCTTCCTGCCTTGGAGCTGGCCAACCATGGACTGAACCATCAGCCAGTGACCCGAAAGTGACTAAGACAGGGAGTCTCTGGGGATGATGTTATGGGTGTGCTTTATTCTTTTTCCTAATTTGGTGGCTGAAATACAGATCTCACAGTCACCCCTCGTGTCAGGCCTCTGTGCCTCAGTGCCCTCAGCAGACAGATGCCCTTCCCCAGGGCTGACCTGGCACAAGGAGTGTGGAGGGAGGAAATGGGCTGCCTGGTGGCTTCCGAAGGTCCGTGGAGGGTCAGGGGCTTCGAGCTCACACAGAGTGGGGGGTCAGAGGGACATCCTGGCATACAATGGGCGGGAGAATTGCTGAATTGTGATCATGCCCAGACGTCAGCCAGGGACCTGGCACAGACTCCAGTGAAGGCCTGAGACCCATCTGGCAGTGAAACAGGTGAGTTTAAGTCAGATCCTGGGGCCCAAGTGGCCCATGGCCAATGGCAGTGGGTTCTCCACCTTGGAATATCCAGAGCAAAACCAGCGAAAGGGCCGTTACCCCATCCACCCTCCAACATGGCCACGGGCAGATGGGCCATGTCCTGCGGCTGGTGGGTGAGGGACAGGCCGAGGCAGGAGGCAGCAGGAAGCAGGCTGCAGTCTTGCTCCTTCAGGGTTAGATCGACCGCTGTTTCTTTCTTCTGCTTTGTTCTTACTGCAAAAACTGATACAGTAAGAAATCTAATTTCAAATTCTAGCCCAGATAGCGAGCCAGGGGTCTCGGTACTGTTCACCGCAGTGCCGTTTCCCGGGTGGCTCTCCCCCGGCTGCCGGCTTGCGGTCCTTCCCTATCAGAGGTTCTTTCCTGGGTTGACTTTGATCGGCTGTCCAGTGGTGCGCTGAGGTCACTGATGCCGTGCAAGGCCCCTTCTGGAGTGACCCGGATGCTGCGGCAGCACCGGGGTCCCCTCAGGACTTTCCTTGTGAAGCTGGAATGATTGCTTTAACCTGTATTTGCTTTACAGTGTTGCTTTGACACCCGTCTTCGAGTTCACTGGGGTAACAGCAGATTTGGCTAA